AAACCACTTCACAGAAGTGTGTGTGTGTGTATGTGTGTGTGTGTGTGTGAGAGAGAGAGAGAAGATAGAGAGAGAGATGAGAAAATTGAAGTCATCTCTAAATTACTTTCTGGTTTTAAAGGTAGTGATTCTGTGATTTTACATTGCATTATGGTTCTTGGAATAACAGTAAAGCAATCTGGGCTGATGCAAGTGAAATTCTCTTAGTTGGCAACTACTTAAATTTTGACCTAAGTCTGGTTCGTTGCACCTTTCTTAAATAGAGGACAGATATCCTCTAGAAACTATTCCATTCTCCTTGCCTTCCCATCCTTTGCTCCATGTGACCTAATAGAGACACCTTTTAATTATTACGAAGTCCTATGGCCATTTAAGCCGAGAGTTGAAATTGACTTTATAAAAATAGCCACAGAGTGGGTTTTTTTCTTTTTCAGTCTTCACATGTTCTTGGAGTACAGTATCCATGCAGAGTTAGAATAATCTTCCCTAGGACTGTTAAAATATTTTTTAAACCTGTTCCCTGCCGAGCTGCTGCATAGGGCTTTCCTGTTACACCTGTGGGCTGACTGTGCTAGTGTGTGGGAGGAGGTGGACACGAGTGAGGCACGGTGTTCTGGGCTGTTCGGAGAGGTTCAGGCCTTTACAAGCAAGGCTTTGATTCTATTTTTTGCTGAACTAGCTCAGCCACTTCCTGTGTTTGGCTGCGCATAGTGCCTCGCTTCACTGTGGCCACTTGAGCCCCGCGAGCCAGCGAGTGCGCTGCCGCAGCCAGTTAGAGAGACTATTTTAGGTCCCCGCACAATGGCCTTCTCATTTCCTCGGCGAAAATGAGCGAGTTGGGCTGGCATTGGCCACTTGTTAGCAGATGACAACTTTGACTTTGACTTGGGCTCGGCTCCCCTCCCCGAAATCCCTAGCTCAGCAAATATTTGAACCTGCCCAAGTTAATCATGAAGCCGCGATCTTTATCTAAGAGAGACGTGCGAGCGCCGGGGCCTTTTCCCTCCCCAGTACTGTACCGACATCCTGCAGCTTTCTCCGTGGGGAGCCGGCGGTGAGGGCGCCGCTGGGGCCGTGAGATCGTCCGGTCCGTCCCTGGGGTCTTGCGCCGCCCGCCCCTGCGCGCACTCGGGGCGCGAGCACCGCACGCCGGAGCCGTGGGGGGAGACGCTGGGGCTGGTCCCTGTTTCTGGAAGAATAGCTTTTTGGATTTTTTTTTTTTTTTTAATTGTCGGATACAGGCATTGAAAGAGAAACCGCTGAAATGCATAACCTGCAAAGTAAGTCGCCTTTAATTTGTGCACTTCTCTGCCCCTTCGCTGTTGCCCGGGCTTTTTTTTTTTTTTTCTTCACCCCCCCCACGCCCCCCATGTACTTCGGTGAGAGGTTCGTGTGTGTGTGCGTTTGCGTGTGCGTGTGCGTGTGCGTGTGTGTGTGTGTGTGTGTGTGTGTCAGAGAGAGAGAGAGAGAGAGAGAGATTAAGCACTCCCTGGGGAGGGCAGATGGGAGATTAGGGGAGACACTCCCCCGTTTCCTCAAGGGGCACAGTGTGAGGGGAAGATGGGGTTTAGGCTGGAAATGTGGAAGGAGGTAATTACAAACTGCTTGGCTGGAAGCTGGTGCCTGGCCAGGCCTGGGAGAGATGTGGAAAATCACCTGTCTCCCTGCCCTCCTCCCGGGGTCGCTTTGCCACCTGGGCTCCAGCAGCGGGACTGGTTTGCACCAAGTGCTCCCAAAGGCATGGGGGTGGCCCACCTGGCTGCCCGTCAGACAGCTGCCAGGAGACCAGTCTCCCTTCCTTTTGGGGAAAGCATCAACATTTTTAGTAAACTGAATTATTTTCTGAATCTTATCTGAGGGCATACCCACCATCACTACCCCCACTTTTACCATTTTTATTTGAATTTGAGTTTTGGGTTACTCAAACCCTTCAGCAAATGTAAAAGTGAATGGGAGAGGGTGGGAGGGTATAGGCTGAGTCTGCCTTCCTAGTTAATGGGAAAATGAATTAAACTAGAACGGAGATATAAGTGAACAGAGAATGTCCTGCTTTTGCTCTGCTATTTTATATATTTTATGATTCTAAATTTGATAGAAAATCTAAGTTTCAAGGGCTTCTGTGTTCTTTAAATTGTCACACAAATATGTGACATACATGTGTATATAGATCAGAAAGCCTGCTAAAATTTTTTTAATCAACCATATTTACATGGAGGGGTGGCTTCCCCCCCCCCATCATAATATTGTAAAAGGAAAGAGAGACCGATTCACAAGGGAAATGAATATTAAGCTCCAGTAAGAACAGCAGGATTATATGCAGAATGACTTTAAAGAACTGAAATTAATAATTAGATTTATAGGGGAATTGATTTCTGTACATTAACTACTGCTAAGAAAGAATAGTCATATTTGTCCCCAGAGCGAGGCACTTGGGATGGAGGGGATAGAAGTCCCCCTAAAGTGATTACGTCACTCTCCGCACCCCCCCCCCCCACCGCCCCCCGCTCTGCTCCCCACCACAAGCAGTATTAGCACAGTAAATCTGAAGATGGGGGTCATCAGTGAGAAATACTTTGCCAAGATAAGTGTCTTCCTATTCTGCATTCTGATATATATGGCCTCTTTCTTTTCGGAAGACTCAGCTTTCTTTGACCAGTCTTGTTAGACAGTAACATTAAAATTCTCATTAATAATGTTGACGGTTATGGTGATTATTTCTGCTAATAGACATCTTCATTCCTGTTAAGAATTTCCATTGTTATTCCATAAAGTCTAGTTTTAACTTTGCAGTATTGGGTAGAGGAGGGGATGTTGCCTTTACATTTTCTTTTAATTGCGCTTTCTAATGTGACACATTTGTGACTGTGTTTAAGTTCTCAGTTTTCAGTGAATTATGTAAGACTAAAATTAAATATCTAGAGTTCTTGATCCTTTCTGCTCCTAATATATATGAGTGGTATTTAAGGACTGCAAAATATACCTTAACTATACCATTTTGATGCATTTATAAGATTTTTAAGCCAAGGAATGATTAGGCTATCTAAAAACCCAGATGTACTAGGGAAAGGGGGAAAAAAAAAAGCTACGTGCTGCAGCATATCAGCTTTTGTCAACCTGCCAACAGTGGAGCATACCATGCTGCAAGGAGTAATAAAAAAGGAATTAGAAAACTCACTGCTGGAGGAGAACAGTCAAATTAAACACCTTTTTGAAACGATGGGCATGTATACATTGTCATGCTATTAAGTGTAGGTTCTTAGTGAGATTGGGATCGTGCTAAGGCTGGTATAAAAGAGAAATGATGAAGCAGGAGTGGTCTGGTGACATTTTTCTGACTTGATTGGCTGGGGTGTGTGATGTAATAGGTTACAGTGCAGCCCCTTATAGGTTTTAAAATGAATTCCAAGACACCATTACAAAGAAAGCCGGACTCTTTTCTTATAACTGAGCTCAGCCAAGGAAACTCACACAAATGTACAACACTGTTTGGAATATGGAAGACCTGGATTTAGACTATGCTAAGACAGATATAAATTGTGGCACAGACTTGATGTTTTATATAGAAATGGATCCACCAGGTAATACTGCAGTATTCTTATAGAAAGCTAATTTTGTGGCTTTTTTTTTTTTTGACAACTACTATAACAAAGCCTTTTAGATTCTTGTTTTTATTAATTTATTCTAATTTAATAATTAGTTTGAGCATAGCTTGAAAATTAAACAAACTGACTGCCTGTGGAAGCAAGCAGATCAGGCTGTGTGTGGTAAATGCTTATTCTTACTTGAATGGATATGAATGGAATTCCAGTTTTTCACTGGTGTCTTTTGTTAATCAAGGTCTTTGCTATTTGGGTTATATTGTTGTATGTCGTTCCTTTAGTTAAAATGATGTTCTCCTTTGTGCTGCTTTTCTCTGTTGACCGTGGATGAGAACAGTGTGGTACTTTGCAGTGATAACACTTGGTACTTTTGAAAGCATGTAAAATGTAGCAGTGATTGCAACTCAGTTCTAGGTGACCTGAAACTATTCTAAATCGAATGTTGAGACTTTGCCTGCTCTTTTATACTAAGATACTATAATGAGAAAAGAAGTTAGCTCTCCCTTATTTAGTCCTGCTCTTTACAAAATATTCTCGATAGACACCTGAAATAATTTTTACATAAAATAGTCACAGTGCCCTAAAACTTATGACTTAAAATTTAGCTAAAAATCCTAGACCGATTTTGCTTTCTAAATTAATTTATCCCAACGTCAGCCCTCCCTCCCAATTAAGAAATCTCAAACACTGCAGTCTCTCATTTGTCCCCAATTGGTCTATGAATACTGATTTGACATTGAGGAAAAGGAGTATGGTTTTTAATCGGTCTTGGCATATAGAGCACAATTTATCCAACAGGACATGGACATGGACACTAAAGAGATTTAGGTCAGATGAGTTTCTTCAAGTGGCTATTGTCAGAACGGTGCCTAAAATACTAAGATTAGAGAAAACCAATTCCTCTTCTTAAAACATACTGCTGTAGATTTTTTTTTTTTTTTAACACCACAACAGCATTTGTGGAGGACAGAAACTAAATTTGCCTAATTTAATAAGATTAAATTAAAGCCAGCCATGTGATTCCTCCTGCTCATATGTTCATGGTTTCTTTCTTTAGGTGGATTTGACCAGGCATGAAACTTTAATATAACTAGAACCTAAAAGTAGAAAATGTCATGACTCTGGATTTACTCTGAAATTCATTCAAGTGACCAGCTCAATTTCTTTGTTAGTGTCTAAGCTGTTTTTCAGTTTCTTTTCTCCGAGTCATACTCTGAAAGATTTGTTGTGTTTTTTTGTTTTTTAAAGAAAACTGTCTTCTGTGTCTCATGGAATTGTGAATTATTGCTATATTTCACATTCTACTTTTTTCTACATGGAAATGCGCCTAAAGAAATTAGGTCTAATTTAAAATGTTCAATTGGGGTTGCAAACAACTTTTTCTTTCTTCTTTATCTACAGCACTGCCTCCTAAACCACCAAAACCCACTACTGTAGCCAACAACGGTATGAATAACAATATGTCCTTACAAGATGCTGAATGGTACTGGGGAGATATCTCGAGGTAAGGCTACAGAAATGCTTAGTTTTCACTAGAGAGTTTTAGATTAAGAGAAGGAAAAGCAGCAGCTTGCTAAGTTCCATTTTTAGGATATCATACAGTATAAGCATGAAGCATAGTTGGTTTTCTTCCAAAGATGACCAGAGAAGTCACTGATCCGCTGGAGAACTGTGGGTGCTGGATGCCACAGGAAATTAAATACTCGAGAAGTTTTTCATTATTGACAGAGATGTCAGGGAAGCACCACGATGAAGTGACACTGCCTCAAAGGCAGCACATAAAGTCACTCTCTATTAGGCAAAACTCTAAGAATTAATATTACACATAATAAAATGGCACTTTTAGTCTTTTTTTTTTTTTTTTTAAGAGTGAGGGGTTTGGGAGGAAACCTTTTTGGGATCATGACTTGCTTTGCTGATTTGTCACAGTGATTAGTGTGTTTGGTTAAAAAAATAAAACCAGTACCACAGTCATATCAATAGTGAAAGTAGGTTTTTTTTTTTTTTTTTTTACAACTCCCATGCACCTGTTCGTAATGAGATGAAGTTTATAACATTTTTAGGTAAACAAAGAATCGTTAAGGTCTGAAAATTAATAAATGTAAATCTATAAGGACGGGGCGTAATACAGGCTCTCTCTGTGCTTTCTGCTCAATTTTACTGTGAACCTAAAACTGTTTATTTAAAAAAATATATACACCCAGAGTCACTAAATCCTTGAGGTGAGCACTGTCTTATGTTCTTTTCACTTTAGGGAAGAAGTAAATGAAAAACTTCGAGATACAGCTGATGGGACCTTTTTGGTACGAGACGCATCTACTAAAATGCATGGTGATTATACTCTTACACTAAGGTAAGTCAAAGAATGTAGCTAAAATTAGAGTGTTCGAGTTGACATTAAAACATTTCTTCAAAGAAAATTATGTCATTATGTTTATATTGTATTTACAGGAAAGGAGGAAATAACAAATTAATCAAAATATTTCACCGAGATGGGAAATATGGCTTCTCTGACCCATTAACCTTCAACTCTGTGGTTGAATTAATAAACCACTACCGGAATGAGTCTCTAGCTCAGTACAATCCCAAGCTGGATGTGAAATTACTTTATCCAGTGTCCAAATACCAACAGGTAATCAAATACTGATATGTTATTTCAATAAGATACTTTCAATGCTTGTAATACACCTTTACATGTAATGAAATTTAAAAAGCTTTGTACTTGTGATTACAAAATACAATTTTAGAGTAGAATAAAATTCTTTAAGGATTTTTTCTACATCAGATATTTTATTAAACAATTCTTAATTTTTAATACCCTATCAATTGAATTTCTTTCTCCTCTGGTCTCTAATCCTTCTAGGATCAAGTTGTTAAAGAAGATAATATTGAAGCTGTAGGAAAAAAGTTACATGAATATAACACTCAATTTCAAGAAAAAAGTCGGGAATATGATAGATTATATGAGGATTATACCCGTACTTCCCAGGTGAGTTTTTTGTGACAATCAGATTAAAATTTTAGAAGTCTTAGTTCTAAACACGTGTTAAAACCTAACACGTGTTATAGTCAGCTTCATAAAAAGGGTTGAATTTTTGCAAAAAAAAGTGAGGGGAGAGATCATTTATTTGCGGATCATTGACTATTTTAGTAATTTACTCATTGTATCCTCAACCTTTTAAACGAAGCCTATAAGTATCAGAATAATAAACTAAGTTCACAAGATGAAGAAGTTGCTATGGGTTTTGAGTTGTAATTCCTGACTGAAGAATTATTTTTAGGTTGGAAGTTAGTAATAATCGGAAGTTCCACAGATTCGTCTAACCTTGGAGACGAATGTGTGGAAATGGAGATTTAAGCATTATGTACCTCTGCCATGAAAAACGGACTACATTGACTGTAACTTTAGCCGAGAGACTTAATCTTCTCTAGGCCATCATGTGGTTGGGACCGCCAGAGGGAGTAGAAGGCAACATAGATGTCACGAACTGCTGATAAAAGTAGAATGGTTTTAACAAAGATGAAAACTATAGGAAATTGTCAAGCAGTCATCTTCCATAGACTGGGAAAATGCCCAAAGGAAATGTGTGCTTTCCTGAGAGCATTTTAATGGGTTTTATGAATTAGAGTCCCACCTTGCTGATGAAGTGCTTGTGTGCTAGACAGTCATGCAGATCAGATGCCCTGGTCGTGCTTCACAGTGGGAACTTGCCTGTTCTATGAAAGGTGTGACATTGTCTTATTAAAATTGTGCTGCAGGAAATCCAGATGAAAAGAACGGCTATTGAAGCATTTAATGAAACCATAAAAATATTTGAAGAACAGTGCCAAACCCAGGAGCGGTACAGCAAAGAGTACATAGAAAAGTTTAAACGTGAAGGCAACGAGAAAGAAATACAAAGGTCGGTGAACCCTGAGTGTTCCCTTTGTCCTTGTGCTAGAGATAACCAGATGATCTCGCTTTCTGTGCTTTGAATGATTAAACAACAGGAAGAGAAAGCATTCTTTACCTGAGGAAAATGGCTGGGAATCCACAGTGAACCTTTTCATAAACTTGGGGAAACCTTCACGATGAACTCAGGTGATTACAGATGCCTCTCTTTTACCTGTAGGATTATGCATAATTATGAAAAGTTAAAGTCTCGAATCAGTGAAATTGTTGACAGTAGGAGAAGACTGGAGGAAGACTTGAAAAAGCAGGCAGCTGAGTATCGGGAGATTGACAAACGCATGAACAGCATCAAACCGGACCTCATTCAGCTGAGAAAGACACGAGACCAATACTTGATGTAAGGACTGGAAATGGAACCCTGTGAGCGAATGATTGGTAATGGCCAGAATTAAGGATCAGCTATAAATACATTTTCTTTTTAAACCCCTTCAGGTGGTTGACTCAGAAAGGAGTTCGGCAGAAGAAGTTGAACGAGTGGCTGGGCAATGAAAACACTGAAGAGTAAGTAGTTTTGCCGAGTTTGGAACCTCGCGGAGAAAGTGGACAAACTCAGCCTCACTATCCAGCGTTTTTTAAAGGGAAAGTTTAGGGAAGGAAGATACAGACTTTTTCACATAATGCTGTAGAGCAGAATTGTGTCCATAATGATGTCCCTGAACAGCTCAAAAATCCCAACGTATTTTTGGAATAGAGAATTTACAAAAAAAGGACACAGGCCCAGTCTATTTTTTGAAGCTTAAGTAGATGTTATGTTTAAATTATTTGAAAACTGGCAATCCTCCTAGTCAATCAATTTCCTGATCTAAACTGGACAAACATGATTGTTTAATACCGTCCTCTCTGCCCAGGTGTCTGAGCATAGTTGCTGACTTGAACGCAGGAAGAGTATAACATGGCTGCGAACTCTTTGGCCAGGGAGAGTACTTTGAAGGCTAAACTCGATGAGAGGAAAACTCAGGCCAGAGAGGCTGGTTGAGTCAGACCTGTGTTATGGCTCTGACTTGCTTGTAGGTGGGACAGAAACAAGGCAGAAGAGATGAGGGACGGGGTGAGAGGGGGCAGCCCAGTGGCTCCCATGCACTTTATTTAGAAACCATCTCTCCTGCCTACTTAGCCAATATTCACTGGTGGAAGACGATGAGGATTTGCCCCACCATGATGAGAAGACATGGAACGTCGGAAGCAGCAACCGAAACAAAGCTGAAAACCTACTGCGAGGGAAGCGAGATGGCACATTTCTTGTCCGGGAAAGCAGTAAGCAAGGCTGCTACGCCTGCTCTGTGGTGTACGTATCTCCAGCAAACTATTTCTTGTGTTCAGCATTTCTTAAAGGAGGTATTTCAGCCAGCCGGGCAAGGATTTGAAAACGTTCTAATCCGAGAGAATCTTACAGTAATGTAGAGGAGGAAAAAGAAAACCGGCATAATATTTTAAAGTCTGTTAATAGAGGCTGGTAGAAAGAAACCTGCTTCTTAGTTGGGAGCTTGGGGGTTGGGCCCCAATTCAACATTTTTTTTTTTTCCCATCTTTAAAATGGAAATAGCAATGCTTGCCTCCCGAGACTCTAACTCACATGAGAATACCACCCACAGGTAAAAAGTCCCTATCAGGAACAGGTCAAAACCAGACAGACAGACCCTGATCACTGTCCTTGAGATAATTACACACAAGAGAAGATATTTTCGTCATGTGGCATATTTTTGTTCATTTCTTAATAGTCTAGGAAGTACCTTGAATGAAGAGTTTGGGATCATTTCAGAGCAGTGAGTGTCCTCCAGGAGAGACAGGTTCTAGAACATTATACTCCATGAGCTCTCTCTGTTTAAGCAAAGACATAGTCCAGCAGGAAGGGAGTAAGAACTTTGACAAGGGAATAGGATAGTGAATGCCAAGATGAAGAGGCGTGTAGACATATTAAGGCTGTCCCGAGAGGAGGAAGCCTATTAATAACTAGTAATAGTATGACCGGTCACACAGCGGCGCTAATGACGACGGTTAGAAGCGACCACTTGTGTGCTTACTGCATTCCAGGCATTCTGTCAAGCACATCACGTACATCGTCTCATTTGTGAAAGCCAGCCGTTATATTACTATCTTTTTAAACCATTTTGAAGATGAAAATACAGCAGCTCAGGGAGGCCACGCTCCCTTACCTGGGCTGCTCAGCCAGTAAGTGACAGAGACACGAGTCTACTGCTAGCCTAGGACTCTTCCCTACAGGGAGACTGGCTTGCATAGAATCTACTTTTTGATGGCGATGATTTTGTTAAAAATACCTTGTGGAGTCACAAATTGTGCTGGACAAGTTCAAAAGGCATTTGCTCACACTCTCTCTCTCTCTCCAGGGTGGACGGCGAGGTAAAGCACTGTGTCATAAACAAAACGGCGACCGGCTACGGCTTTGCCGAGCCCTATAACCTGTACAGCTCTCTGAAGGAACTGGTGCTACATTACCAACACACCTCCCTCGTGCAGCACAACGACTCCCTCAACGTCACACTAGCCTACCCGGTGTACGCACAGCAGAGGCGATGAAGCACGGGCCCCACGCCTCCTCCTGAAGTTCAGCCACCCCGAGGCCTCCGGGAAGCACAGGGCTCCTCTCCAGCCTGACCTGAGAACTGAGCTGTGGAAACGAAGCCGTCTGCCTTCAGATGGGACTCGAGCCTTTGACAAAAAAAGCAGTGGGGGAAGACACGCAGCCCAGCGCTGTGCGATGATGACCAGACATTTCAAATCTGGAGTGCTTATCCTTCCTTCCCTCTTTTTTTTTTTCTGGTTTAATTTAAAACCACCAGAACACACAACACAAAGAGAAAAAGAAATGCAAAAATCTCTGCGTGCAGGGACAAAGAGGCCTTTAACTATGGTGCTCGTCAATGCTTTCTGAAGCTTTACCAGCTCAAAGCTGGGACCAGAGGATGTATGGGGCTTGAAGAGGCCCAGCCTGGGGACGCTCAGCCCAGCCTGGTTTAGCCGTGCCCGCTGGACCCAGACACTTAGCACTGTGGATTACTTCATTTTCTAACAAATGAACAATATGTAGCAGAAAGGCACTTCCTCACAAGGAACACTTTGGGAGAACGTTGGCTCACGTACGTTCAGAGGAAATTCTATTGTAGCCAAGTGCCACAGTGTTTTGTTTTGTTTAAACTTCTCAAGAAACAAAAAATCCAACGGAAAAGCGGAACTTGGAAAACGGGACTTAAAATGACATTCAATATATAAAATATGTACATAACATTGGATGACTAACTATCAAATAGATGGATTTGTATCAATACCAAATAGCTTCTGTTTTGTTTTGCTGAAGGCTAAATTCACAGCGCTATGCAATTCTTAATTTTCATTAAGTTGTTATCTCAGTTTTAAATGTAACTTCAGAATAAGCTTCCCTTGCCCCAATTTTTGTTGCTTGAAAATACTGTCGTCTCTGATTTTTGTGTTAATATTCATTTTGTTATTCTTTTACTTTTTTTAAAAGAAATGTACAGGATGCCAGTTTTTAAAAAAGGCTTCAGAATTAAAACTATGAAATATTTTACAGTTTTTCTTGTACAGAGTACTTGGCTGTTAGCCCAAGGTTAAAAAGTTCATAACAGATTTTTTGGACTAAATGTTTTGTTGGGCAGTGCCTGATAAGCTTCAAAGCTGCTTTATTCAATAAAAAAAAAAAAAAAGATATATGAATATGACAAAGTATTACTGAGTTCAACGATGTTGTTTCAAGACTCTTCAAATACGGTACCTGGCAATGTTTGTTTCATAAAGAATTGTGAACTTCTTGAATCTAGGGAGTGGGGGATGTAGCAAAGGGATGTACAGGTGGGGTGGCACGGTGGTATGCACTTTCTCTTTTTCATGATTAGAGAAGTAAATAACTTCGCTGCAAAGTGAAGTTGCTTCTACTTCAGTCTTTTCTTACTGTGATCTGCTAGTTATCAATTATGACAATTACAAATTTACTAGGACTCTAACACAGTGCAGCTGGTCAGATATTTTCAGTTCTTAGGAAGGAAGCCAGGCTCCAGGAACAGTGTTCCACCTTTGTTTGGAACATTGATTTCAAGGTATAGTTGCTACAGTTAGAAAGTATGTCTCTTTTTAACATTAGACTACCATTACAAACAACATTCATTGTAGAGCAAGCATGATCTGAAAAATATTTTTATCTGGATATTTGTTATTTCCCTAGCTTTCTATTCACTTTAGATCAGAAAGCAAATAGGTATGATTGTAACTTACTGCTCTGGGCTGTGTGGAGCTCATTAAAGCCATGGCCATTTCAGGGATCATCTTGACAGTCCTCATTCATCCAAATAATTGTATGTGTTATACTTCACTGTGGGGAAAAGGAAGGGGTTGTTAGAGTCACCTTTCCAATTTAAGGCAAGAGTGAGAGAGCTCCCTGATTCACATATGCAAAAAGCCGTTCTGTTCGGGAGAAATTGTACATGTATTGGGAGGAATAAAGGATAATTATAATCGTGGGCACTACGCTGGTAGATTAAAATAGAATGTTACAATTTGTTTTCTTTTCTCAACGTTAGATTCACCCACAGCTTTATTTCTCTTCCCTTCAAATACTAGAGTGAGGGGTTTTGTTAATGTTGTTCCTTTTAAAATTCTTTTGGAAGAATTCATCTAGCAGCTGACTTAACTGTAGAATGTATTTTTTTCCCTCTTTACATGAAGCTAGCAATAGTCAGTCTTATAGCCAGACTGTCAGCCCTCAAACTTGACTACACTGATCTGACCATCTCCCTCTCATCTCCAGACAATTGATAATCTCGCTGGTTTGGGTCTGTGAGTGTCTGGTTTAAAACTATCTTTCCATGTCGCATAGTAGTTTATAAACTAGGACTATTTTTTTTTTTTTTTTGGTAGCACATCCATGTATGCTATTAAGTATAAATTTTCATTTAATTTCTAAAATATAAGATCTGAGATGGAATGTTTCATTAACAGTGTTTTTGCTTCAACACTTTGCAAGATGACATGGTAGTGGGCACCTGCCTTATTTTTGCACCTCAAGCATAAACACTAGATCTTTGAAGTGCAAGGGCAAGATTCCTCGTTCCATATCCGAGGGAGTGACACCACACCTCTGATGTCACACCTCTGCCAAATGCCTTCTTGACTGTGTGTCGCGTGCCCACCACACATGTCCTCCTAGGTGTTTGACCGGCAGGGCTCCATGGGTTCATTCAGATGGTCATCTAACAACACTGTCTCAGTGGCTCAAGAATAGGAATGGACACAGCAGAGGCACTCTGATACACGCTCTTGTCCATGCATTGATTTTCCCCACCCCACGTAGCATCCTAAAAGCCAGAAGCTAAGCTGCAGAGAGGTTGTGACAAGGCTAGAGAAGTGGGAGTATTGGGACCTGATATTAGAAAGAACAATTATAACCTGATATTAGACGGAAAAGTTATAACGTGAAAAAGCATGTGTTTGCAACATCTGACAACTTCACGGCCCTGGATATATGTATATATGTATATGTGCATGGACTGTGTTTCCAGTACACCTTTCAGCCAGAACAGATCCAGTCATTGAATTCAAGTATATAACAAGCAAATGTGTAGTACAGTTCTTGTATATGCGTATGGGTTGTTTTTTTTCCCTCTGAAATTGCTTTGTTTTGTCTTATAAAGGTGAAAATTGTTTGCAAGTGAAGTGAGAAGTTCATAATTCTTTGGCTTTTTCTGTTTTTAAAAGTTACTACTTTTGAGAAGCTGGTCTAGATGACTTGCTTAACTTGGAAATCCTCGTTTTCAATGTGTCACGTCAAAATGTGTTTATGTGAGCTGTCACTGTAGGGGATCAATTGCTTTGTCATATAGCTGGTTATGAACTAGTAATGTGTTTGAGAAGTCCTACTGATGTTCCTTATTGGGAGAAAAATTCTGCTGGTTTTAACAACTGTGCTTTTGCTATGCATGGTATCCAAGTCAGTTGGAAAGCAGACCCTGAAATTTGAGTTCAGGGTCATTTAAGAAAGGGGCAGTTTAAAGCACAATGCCTCACATGGGACAAAGTTCTAAAATGCCAAATTCTTATTTTTAAAAAATCTAGTTATATAAAATACTGGTATTATGAGTAAGGAAGGAAGATAATTCGGTTCATTGGAAACACTGTCCAACTTAACATTAAACTTGTCACCATGAGATAGCATTAGCTGCCCAGGATGCTGCTATTAAAACACACACACACACACACACACACACACACACACACACACAAAACTCATTTATATGTGTGTATTTTTTAAAGCTACGACCTGTTCAATGTTTTTACAAATCTGTTTATATGACATTGTTAAAATAAAGTTGGTCTTTTGACGAGAGGGAGGATGTGATGGTCAGTTGTAATTTTGCCTTTACAAGGCAACTGGGCGGCGGGTGGGGGGGAGTGTGCCTCCTTGACATTTGGTTCAAGCTATAGATTTCATGGAGCTATGTCTTGTTTTAAGTTGCTTTAATGCATTGTATTAGGTCTTCAAAGAGAATAAAGGTTGTTTTGAAACTTAAGCGATGGTTTGAAATGTCAGTTATCACCTAAGAAATATTTCTAAAGCCACTCTCTTGCTCTCTTGGTTAATAAAAGTTGCTGTTTCTATAGTCTCCCACCCACCCCTTTTCAGTCTATTACCTCATTTTTATAAAGTGAGAAGGACATTAAGAGTGGTCACATGATTGATGGCTCAGTGTTGTTTACATAATTACACTATATACTTAATGATGAATATACCTCTAGGTGATGTCATTTTAAGACATGTTCTTGCTATAAGAATACAAGAATGCCCACTGTCTCTCAATCCCTCTCCTCCTTCACTATATCCATCTCCAAACCTTCAGAATTCTCTACAAACTCTGGTCTGTGAAGAAATTGGTTTGGTCTCTCTGTCCTACAGGCTGCATTATTTTGAACACTCACCATACAGGGACTATGCAGCATGCTGACTGTGACACTGTGTTGTAGGCAGGGAGCTAAGCACACTCCAGATTCAGGTTTCACATTGTAGCAGCTAATCAACAGAGTCAAACTATTCTTAATCTGAAATAACCTGCCCATTTTGTTTTTACTGCTGAATGAATTTACAACACAGCCATTTTCCGTGCATATCGCACTTCACACGTAGGCACAGTGAGGGTCCTAGGCATGAAGACGTAGTCTAGTAATGCCGACAAGGGGCACATAGATCATCACAGTCATGACAACAATGACTAGCACTTGCTGAGGATGGCAATAGCTCAGACGCATTTCCTGCTTTTCTCCTGCTCTGTTCTGTACCACAGAAAACTATTTCCACGGTCTTTTGCCTGCTGGCGTTTAGGTAGCGAGCCTCCCCTGTGGCTCCAGCTCCTGCCAGATAGACCTTCTCTCTTTGGGGTGTGAGCTGCCTCACTAGGCTCTCTCCTGCTCAATAGAAGCCTTTGGCTTTTGAGGTCTGGTAGCACTGTGCCCGCAACACCCCCCTGCCGATTTTTACTCTAGCCCAAGGGGTGGTAGCTGTTTTCTGCTGCTGCGGCTAAACCTCTGGTTTCTCTCATCACCCTCTGTTTGGTTTCTGAGGCCTTCCATCATCTGAGTAACTATTTCTCTTTATTCAACTCTCTCTATAAGAGCTAGAGTCACTTCTTTTTTTCCTGACTGGACTCTGATTGATATACCAAGTTATTTTTATTCATTAAACACTTCAGTGTATTATCTGATTTAATCCTTCCACAATTATGAATTACAATATCCTCACATCTTTACAGATGATAAAACTTAAACTTAGATGTTAAATGACTAAAGATCATGCAGCAATTAGAGCACAGAGTAGAGAGTATAAGCTGTCTGACTCAAGGCAGAGCACTTTACCCCTGTGCTGTAACAGCCTTCCAACAGAAAATGCACTGGGAAGTTCAAAGAAAATTTCACCAGTCACTCTTCCTGCTGGGGATCTAACCATGCAGCTCTCAATTGGTGGACAGTGCACAAGTGGCCAGTGATGAATGGCAGGAAATGGCAAGAGTTTGCTTTATACCAGTGGTTCCTGAAGTGTGGTCCCCAGACTGACAGCATTAGCGTCATCACTTCAAAACCTGTTAGAAGTGTGAATTCCAGGGCCCCACCCCTGACCTACTAACTCTTAAGAGTAGGACCCAGCAAATCTGTTTCAACAAGCTCTCTGAGTGATTTTAATGCATAATCAAGTTTGAGAATCACTACTTAAGGTCATCCAATTGTTGAAACAGAAATATTAGTATTTTAAAAGTCATTACCATTAATGAATGATATAAATATATTTTACTTTTAAAATTTATGCTCATAGTATAGACTCTATACAGGAAAGATAATATGCTGATTTATAGATTAGGAGGCTCAGACTGGTCTTAGCTCTGTCTTTAACCCACTGAGGAAACTTGACCAACTCAGTGTACCTGTCTAGGCTTCCAACTGTATCTGGAATAAGATTATGAGTCGAGATAGTCTCTGGGGCTCCTTCCAGGGCATATGCTGTGACTGGGTGTCGTGAATGAGACTGCTCAATTCTCTCATTCTCCATTTACAATCTGACCACAACTATAGCCCACAATACGACTGCTGACCACAGATCACTGCAGTTGATCGGTCCTCTGTGTTGCCAGTGACAAAGGCCAAGAAAGCATTAGCAGAATTAGGCTCCACTTATCTTGCTGATGTCTTAAAGCTACACTTTAGGTGAATCAAAATGGACAGCCAAGTTCTTGATAATATGGAGGGGATTATACTTAGAAGTGACACTTTGCCTATTTAAAGCATAGGCACTGAGTCAGAGAATTTGGCCTACTAAGTCCTCTGGAGCATGGTGGAAAGCAGGTAAATATACTATGTTAAGATCTGATACTGCGTCAGCCCAGTAAAACTTTTTTCTGAACTTGCCCTTTAAAAAGTCTGTCTAAAAGTAAGAATCTCATAAAAAAATAAATAAAAATAAAAATAAAAAAACTTAAGCATAAGACCTGAAGCCATGAAACTCCTAGAAGAAAACAGGAGAAAAGCTCTTTGATGTGTGTCTTCACAATGATTTTTTTGGATATGACACTTGAAGCACAAGCAACAAAACAATGAGTGGGACTACATCAAACTAAAAAGCTTCTGCACAGCAAAAGAAATGATCAGCAAAATGAAAAGGCAACCTATGGAATGTGAAAAATATTTGCAAACCATATACCTGATAAGGGGTTAATATCCAAAATGTATAAAGAATTCATACAACTCAATAGCAAAAAAAAAAAAAAAAAATTTCAAGTAATCCAATTTAAAAATGGGCAAAGGACTTAAATACATTTTTCCAAAGAAGATATATGAATGGCTGGCAGGTACATGAAAAGGTGCTCAACATCACTAATCATCAGGGAAATGCATTTCAAAACCACAATGAAATATCACCTCACGCCTGCTAGAATGGCTATCATTAGCAAGAGATGTCACCAAGATGGTGACATAGGTCGTTCCTGACTTCACTCCCTCTCACAAGAGGAACAACTAACAACTATTCGTGGACAAGACACCACTGAAAATCCTAGAGCTCAGGAATGAGGCTGAAGCACACCCCTGTACCACAGAGATCAAGAGAGACTGCATTAGAAGGGTAAGAGGAACAGCCGCATGCGCACTGCATTGCCCCCTCCCCAGGCCAGCACAGCACCACGCCAAAAAATTCCTGAGCCTACAGTTCTTCCAGTGGGAAAAGAGAGCCCAGAGGTGGCATCCAGCCCTCACTCGCAGCATTGTGGATCACTTCTTGGGAGCCCCTACTCTGGTCTTGTCTCAAGGTACACAGGAGGAAGCTGCAGGGCTCCACTGGAAATCTGATTGTGACAAAGAGGGGAGGGCCTTCCAACAACCGGCACTCGGATCTTGGCAGACCAAGTTCCCACTAGCAGGGCCCATGCAGTAATCCCAACCACCGACTTTGCTTACTTGCAAAACCAAGTCGTGGCACAGTTTGACTAGGGTTTTTGGCAGGTTGCAGGTCTGCCTGATTTAGGTCCTCAGATGAGGAGTTTTGCTAACTGACCCTAGAGCTTGGTCTGCCACATCCAGGCAGAAGAGCTGAGTCACAGCCCCACCAACTATAGAGTATGGCCCCAGCCCCATCTGACAGGAAGAGCTGGCGAGAACAACTGGAAGCTGTGTAACCAAGCAATGCTCGAGTCAAAAGGCAGGCTGGCAAAGTTGATTGCCCCTAGAGCAAAGCCAGTGGCCCTATACAGCCAGGCAATCTGGTGCACAGGTCGGCTTGAGTTAAGACTACAAAGAACCTTGGTGGCATTGGAGTGGCTTCTCCTGCTGTGCCCGGGCCGGGAAACTAATTCACAGCCTTCTTACTGCTGAATACAGCCTTTAGCTTGCCTGACCAAGGAAATTTACCAGAGCACACAGGAAGCTGTGTAGCCCATGCAACAGCCCTGTGTACAGTAGAACTTGAAAAGAAAGCACAGCCTGTGGTTTTCCGTATCTGCAGAGGAGAACTGGTGGCCTCACCTGACCGGGATATTCAGTGCATACTCTTGCCTGATTCAGGCTCCCAAATAATGAGCCATGCAGTCCCTGGGTCTCGCCCTGCTGCCCTGTCAGGGTACGAAAGCTAATTCACAGTCCCACCTACTGCTGAGTACAGTACCCAGTCCTGTCTAGTGGGTATTTATCTTGAAGAAAACAAAAACTAATTCAAAAAGACATGTGCACCCCCACGTTCACTGCAGCGTTACTTACAATGTTTCTATAGCCAAGATATAGAAACAACCTAAATCAGTGTCCCTTGATGAATAAAAATACTGTGGTATGTATATACAATGAAATATTATTTTACCATAAAAAAGAAAGAAATCTTGCAATCTGCAACAACATAGATGGGCCTCAAGGGCTTTACGCTAAATGAAATAAGTCAGAGAAAGACAAATACCATATGATTTCACTTATGTGTGGAATATAAACAAACTAACAAATTAAACTCATAGATACAGATAATAAATTGATGGTTGCCAGGTGGGAGATGAGTGAAAAAAGTGAAGGGATTAAGAAGTACAAATTGCTTCCTCCCCATTCCCAACCCCACTGCTCTGCTTAAATGTTCTCTACAGCACTTATCACCTGAGATATTGAAAGTGTATTTATTGTCTGTCTCTGTTACGTTCCAAGTAAGCAGAGATTTGGTTGGTTTTGTTCACTACTGTACTCAAAGCTTCTAGATAAGTTATCTGGTACATAATAGGCCCTCAATACATATTTGATGAATAAATGCATGGGCAAATCAGTTTCCTCATCTGTAAAACAGAGAGATACTAAAAATCACTTAAAGCTGTAAAATGATGATAATACTAATAATAATAGTTGGGGACTTTAATACCGTACTTTCAACGAGGAGTAGATCATCCAGACAGAAAATCAGGAAGGAAACAGCAGATTTGAATAACACTATAAACCAAATGAACCTAACAGATATATATAGAACATTCTTCTGACAGTAGCAGAATACACATTCTTCTCTAGTGCA